TTTTGCTTCCAATAAACAACTTTGCTTCAGTTGAGTCACTGATAGCTAGAATTTATCTTGGAATTTAGTCTGCTTCAGTCTGAAACAGCACAACAGAGGGTATCTTTAGCCTTGACAGTTCTGCAACACAGCCAGCTGGGTTAGAACCCTGGGTACACACAGCTCCAGGAAAAACCTACAGAATCCATTGCTGCACCAGTGCGGGAAAATTATTTTGTTTTGTGGGTCTTGCATACAGCCTGACACCCACATCCCATAGGATTTTCAGATTATGCAGAAGAAGGAAAAAAGGGGCTAAAACCTACAGAGTGAGATGTTGCCTTKTTTAAATGCTTCTGAATTCAGTTTTCAATTGAAAAAAAAATGTATATTTACTCAAAAATGAGAACTCTTAAAACTCAAAAAACTGGGTATAATTTGGCATAACCACCCAACAGTGGAAACTGAGTTGCTGTTATTTCTTACTGATAACCATCTATACCACTTAAAAGAAAATAACTGTTCTTGAATTCCTATGTTCTAACCAATTGAAACAAATTGCTCAAGTTTAACAGGATAATCCAATCAAAGTATRAATGCAGAAAATGAGAGAATCACATCAAACAGATATTAAACCTAACATGTTACTTGTTGTGTCTTGGGATTAATCAAGATCTGTAGAAAGATCAGAGTTTAGTTGGTTCTGAAGATAATGTGGGTAGTGTTTTTTATTTCTTTAAATATTATTTTTCAGAATGACCATTCTTCCTCCAGTAGAGAAGCTGAAGATCCTACTGGAGAAAGTGAAAGACTTCCACATAAAATTTCTTGAAAAATATGCATGAAACTACTGTGGCTTTTTTCCCCTCATCCCCTCCCCTTCTAGGCAAATGCAGACAATGAACAATGATGTGCTGAGAATGTGCTGTTTAACTAATTTAACTAAATTCAAAATAGATTGAACCAGACTCAGACACTGCTACAACTTCTTGGACTATTAAAGATATGTCTGGTGTAGAAGACATTGGTACACCAACTTTTTTTAAGGGGAAGGGGAAGAATGTGAAGAAAGCGATAAGAAGAAAAGAATCAGTAAATGTTTTTGTGCCTTGATTGGAAGTTACATTTGTGAACTTTTGGCTCAATAGGTTGGGGAAGGGAATTGCTCATTAAAATTACTACGGTCGTGGATTTTTTTACAAATCAGAAATGCCAACATCAGTTGTTTAGATAGGAATGTGTTTCCCATCTTAAAATTCTACCAAACAAAAATCCAACCCCCTACATTATAGGTATTGCTTGGTTTAATTTTTATTGTTTGTGTTGTTAAATGTGGAGTGTTCTCCAAATCTGATTAAGCATGTAGGGACAGCATGCTTATTTTAAAAAGTCTTCAGCAGATGTTTGCAGATACCTTTGAAACTCTCCTGAAAAGAAATCCTGTCATCCCACCATAGTTGGAATGGAATACACAGTTTTGATCAGAGGAGTGAACATGGTGTCTGCTTAAACCCTATTTTTATGAAAGTGAAACATAACAAGGAATAAAATCTTCTTCCTGTGCTATTCAAAAAACAATCCCAGCCCTGAACACTTCCTGCCATAACAACTCCAGGAGTCTCCTGTTAGCTCACATCTCTTATAAACATGGAACAGASTAAGTCAGTGTTTCAAGGCAGATGTGAGTACAGTCAATCCTTTCAAGTAGGGTAAAACATGACCCTTTCAGARCTGCTCTGTCTGTGGGGAACATTTGTTTGGAAACATGACACAGCCCCTCTGGCTGGCCACAATCCAGCTGGAAAAGCACCTTCTTACCAGGAGAAATGCTGGGGSTGATTTCTATTGAAGCAAAAGGTATTTAAAGGAAAATGTCTTGCACCATGCATRAAGATAATGATAGTATAGCTGACACTTAAATCTTCCACAGTCTTACTTCTGGCTGAACGATCCTGAGTGCTTCTTAAAGCCCAGCTAAACAAGGTGGCTATCAGGAGTTCAGTTGAGTGACTCCAATGATCTCTGCCAGCTTCTCTGTAAAACAAAGGACAGCTTCTGTTTCTCTAGAGCTGGAAGCTGGACACCTTCTGCTAGCGCTGATAAAGGGCTAAAGGAACAGAGCTTTCAGTATTCAGATGTGAAAGCATTAGCATTTGTCAGACTCAGGCTCAGCATTTACAGTTTATTCATTTAGAATATCACATCCAATCTAGTCATTAATTTTAAGTTATTATTTAGAAGTAAACTCATTTCAATGTCTTCTGGCACTTCGTGAGGCTGCTGTTGTAGCCGGTTCAACACCCTGCGCTGATCCAGGTTACCAAAGCCAAGGGCTAGAGAAAGACCACAGAGATAAACCTGTGCCAATTTATCATGTGAGGAAGACAGGAGATGTTGCCAATAACTGTCCTTGCCACAGCAGCCCCAGTCTATGACAAGCATTAGCAGTGGGTGAGCTTCTCACAGTTCCTTATTGAAGCCTGGGAAAGGAATTTATTCTCTCAGTCACCTGCCAGGGGTCACAGGTTATAGATGAAAATGGCTCGGCTGCTACACAAAGCTACTGTGGAGGACTGGAGAAAAAAATTATACTTTTCTCCTCAGAGAAATGCACTTCTGGGAGGACAGCAGACTGAGAACATTTATGCTGCTAYTATCCATTGAAAAATACAACCTGTCAGCACTCTACACTTGGCATCCTTAATATGCACTACTAAAACAAATCCAGAAAGCAAAACCGTGCTAGGAGGTCAGAATAATGATGTAAAAAAAAAGACAAACAGCACTTTCCTACTCTAGGAATGTGTCCAAATCAGATCTGGCTTTGGACTCTTAATGCAGTGTAGATTGAAACTAAGATCTAACAATGGGASTTAGAATATTTTTTATATTTTTGTAACTACAGCTTTTTCATGGGGTAGTATTTGTAATCTAATAAGTCAATAGATTTTATATTTGCCTTGCATTTGCACCTGATACTTCTGGAAAAAAATGTAAAGGTTTACAAGTTTCTAATGATAATTTACAGGTGTGAAAGGCTTTTTGTTTTAAGTCAGGACAGCAATTCTTAAACTTTTAAATCAAAATATGATGACATAAACTGAGTTTTTTCTAAACATTCTATTATGGTGCCTTTTATGTTTCTGACATTATAAGGGATAACAACTTGTTCTTAATGCATCTCATATGGAAGGGTGGTGATTTCTGTTGTCCATCCACAATATTTGTATGTATTGTGATAAGGTCAATGTGCATTTTTGTGGAACAATCCTGTAAACCTAAGACAAAAAGGCTTATTTTCATTGTCTTTGAAATACTTCATTAATAACAGACAATCCTTCCTTTCAATTGCATGCTTCTAGGTTTGATCTTCCTACAGGTGCTCCTWATAACAGTACTTCAGATGTATGAGACTTCCAAATAATAAAGCACATGTTAAAAAWATTGTAATACTTCTCCATTTCCTGTGTCACTGGAGCAACACCAGCTGGATTGCACTATGACACATTTAACCCCATGTTCAAATCAGTACTTACTAATATTTAGTACCCACGTACCAGATCATTCATTTCTTTATCACTCCAGTTTATGGACTTGAAATATGTCAAACTTATTACCACAAAACTACTTCCTACCAGTGCAGAACTGTAAATAGAGATGGTCTTAGGCAAGCTGATACTTGTAGTTAATCCTATAATGTAAGGAGTTGTAACCAGGAGTTAAGCAAACCAGACCTTTTTCTTCACAGAGAGGATCAGCCAGTGAGCTGAGGCTGATCAACTGTCCTGAAAGCTTTGGTGAGGGGTTTYTTTGGTGTTGTCAGTTCCTTTTTAAAAAAACCTTCTTACATAGTTTATAGGAGATTAAATTTACAGAGCAACACTATCTTGTCTTTTTGCAGTGACACTTCAGAGTTACTTAAGTGGTGTTTGTTTGGTAATTTCAAAGAAAATGGAATTTAGTCCATTTGTCCTCCTTCCCTAAGCATATATGCATATGCCAGAACCACTAAAAGTATCCCAAAACTAGGATATTCTCTTCTTTATATAAGGATTCTGAGTGTTTTCTGGAACAGAAACACTTACCTGTTTGTTTGGAGGGGTTTTTTTTTTGGGTGGGTAGTTGGGAGAAGAGTRTGTTGTTTGTTTTACAAATAAGAACATGGTCTGATACAAAATGCTGATATTATGAATCGTTAGTCAGATTTTTTGCAGCTTTTTCTGAGTGACGTAGGTTGTTCCTTCGGGCTCAGGAGATGGGCCAGATGCATATGATACAGAAAGAGCTACTCACTTCAGAGTGTGTAAGAGYAGTGTACACCATGTGAAAACGAGTGTTTTAAAACATTATCTGAATGCCTTTTTACATAGTTCCTTGGTCAAATGAATACAAAACCCAATATACTCATATCCCTGATAGTATTTTTTTATTTGGATACATGCAAGATAATAAGATTTTGCAAGGAATTCTACTTTTAATGAGATGGATTTGAATATTTTTATGTAATCARTATTTGGTGTCGCCTTTCTAATGTRCCATGTTATTACATGTTTATTAAATCCTGTCCTTACCTGATCAGAATTTGCACAACACGTAACCATTTACATCGGACAGAGCAGGTTATTCCCTTGGTTAGGTGTGAAGCCCTGCRTGTTCTGCACACTGAACAGCAGTAAAGCAGCTAAACCCAAAGCTGAGCTCTGAAACAGGGCCCTTCCTATCGAGCACAGAGRCTTCGCAGCACCTGCGGAGGTGCTGGCAGCACAAGCACCGCCTGGCCCACACCCGGGCACCCCTGGTCACAATCCCCGGGGATGGAAACGCTCACCTGCTCCAGGCTCCAAGGCTGCAGCGGCTGCTCCAAACAGGGAACAAAACAGCGCGATTTGTGCCACCCCGACCGTGTGTGTGTGTGTGTGTGTGTGTGTGTGTGTGTGTCTGTGTGTGTGTGTGTGTGTATGTGTGTATGTGTGTATGTGTGTGTGTGTGTATGTGTGTATGTGTGTGTGTACACATGTGAACCTGCCCAGCTCCTGACAGGGCACGAGCATCATAAAATCATAGAAACATGGAATGTTGAGGGGTTGGAATGGACCTTAAAGATCAGCTTGTCCCAACCCCCCCGCCATGGGCAGGGTCACCTCCCACTAGGCCAGGTTGCTGAGGTCTTATCCAAGCTGGCTTTGAGCATTGCCAGGGTTATGGTATCCACAACCTCCCTGTGGTTTCAGTGTCTCACCATCCTCGAAGTGAAAAATTTCTTTCAATTATCTAACCTCAGCTTCCCCCCTTTCAATTCGCACCCATTTCTCCTTGTCCTGTCACCACATGTGCCGGCTCTGTCCCTGTCTGGCCCCGCCTGAGGCAGCTCCGAGGCGGGGCACCCCCACACCCCGCTGTCCCCTCACGCTCTCCCCTCACGCCTTTGACAGCGCCCGGGGCTCCCGCAGCTCGCTCGTCCCCCGCCCCTGCCCGCCCCGGGGGAGTGTCGGGCGGGCCCCGCTGTGGGCGGGCTGCGGGCACGGCTCTGCCCGCGGGCACGGCTCGGCACGGCCCGGCTGCTGGCCATGGCTCCGGGRAAGGCGCCGTGCCGGCCGCGCAGCAGCGACTCGGGCGTGGAGCCGGACCGCGGGCCGCTGCCCCGGGACAGGGACCAGCGCRCCGCGCTCTCCCAGAAGAAGAAAGACCAGCGCATCGCGCTGTTCCTCAGCGACTTCGACCAGCAGGGTAGGGCCGGGGTGCTCGGGGTGGGGAGGGAACGGCGGCTCCGGGCCGGGAGAGCCCCGGGTCGGGGTCGCTCCTCGGGCAGGGCCGCCTGTCCCGCGTCCGCGTTCGCTGAGGGGCTGGCGGCTGAGGGAGGCTCCAGGCGCTCCGACTCCTGGCTCGGATTTCTCCGTGTAAAACGCTGGTTTGAGTTTCTTTTATAGCGCGATCTTGCAATGCTTATGCTTGGAAACATGCAACACGCTTGGCAATAAAAGCGTGTTTTGTTTTAAAGCCAAGGAGCACATCCAGGAGATGAAGAAAGAGCTCGACTCGCTCTTGCAGACAGCCGAGAAGGCGTTCGCAGTGGAGCTGCTGAAGATGCCGGCTGCCGTCAGGAAAATGAAAAGGAAAGAGTTTCTCGGTGAGAGTGCGTGGCCCTGTGCACGGGGAGTGCGGGCAGCGATGTGCCCCGGGCTACGGGAGAAAACCTGGGAACTTGGTGGTGGCTTTCATGGAAAGGTTTGCTTTGTCTGCTCGGTATTTAAGCAGATCAGCCGCACTGTTACCCTGCAGATGCTCGCTGAGCACGCTTGTTCAGTAGAGTGATCTGTGTAACACACGATATAGAATTAGTAGGTGACAGTSTATATAGTCTGGAGCTTTCTGTTATGACTGCACTTAAGTAATCTTATTTAAAGTCTGAAGAGACAATAAATAATCACAAATCTAGTGTTTTCTGTGTGTAAAACCGAACCCTTTTTTTTAATCTAAATCTGCTCATCCTTAGCCACAGAGAGATTATTTTGTCTTTTGAGTTTGAAATCTACTGAGCCTTTCTCATCTTGTCATTCATCTGTGATGATGAGCAAACAAGTTTAATTCCTATTGATGCAGAGGTTTAAGATGTGAACACTCAGCATCAGATGTATATTCTGATRAGAACAGGTGTCCTTGGAATTTCCGTTGCAGCTGGAAATTGTAGGAGCCACACAGAGATCAAACCTGAAACTCTTGAAGAACTTGAGTTTACTGTAAGCCTGAGTATGGGTTTTGCTGTCCTTCTTGAGAAACTTCTGCYTAAGACCATTATCCTTCTGCAGGGCAATATGTGCCTGTGGTGGTTCTTTGAATCCAGGGGATATCCTGTTTGACTACACTAGGATTCTTTCAATGATTGAAATGGCCTTAGATTTTCATTGTTGTTTTGTAAGAGTGACTGTTCTATGACACTGGAATCTTGTTCAAAAGCAACACATATGCTGACTTAAGGTTACCTATTTAACCACTGAATTACTTTCAGTTTCTGAGCCCATGAGATAAGAATCTGAAGATAAAAATTATGCAATAGTATCTAAATAAGTTATCATTTCTTGAGTTACAGATTTGCAAGGACGAGAGGAAGTGGCTCTTGCTGCTGCAGCAGTAAGTGTGTGTTTTCAGATTTTATCACAGTTTACAGAATAGAATTTTTCTCTCCCTGCTGTAAATATTTCAGACAAATTATTTAGTTCAGCTGTGTGTTTAAATAGAAGATGATATGAAAAGAGTAGACAACCATCCATGGTGCTGTTATGATTACATAAAGTTTCAGGGTCATCTGCTGGAAGAAATTCAGATGTTTCCACAAAAATAAACTGATGTTTAGCCAATCCCACTTCCTGTCAGTTGCTTTCATGCCCTTTTAGTTCACTGCCTTTTGTAACAAAATATGCATTTACTGGGAAAAATCTGATGACCTTCCCTTGTTGGACAAGCATTTTTTGTTTAGACTGACTGCTCCCTGGAAGACATGCCAAATCCCAAACTGGTGAGGACCAACAGTAAAAAAGGTAAGTCAATTCATTAATATATTGCCTGTGATTCTTACATTTCATTTTTAAAAAGTGATTTGAACTAAGCATTTGCAAAGTGAATGTTAAGCTTGAAGAATACAAGAGAGAAAAGTGCATAACAGACCCATCCCCCAGCCCAGAATGCAGTGTGGAAGATCATGACSTATACGACTGTTGAAGTACTTAGAAGCATGAGAAAAGAGTTTCTGTCCTTTGGATTTATAAGAGGAAATGGTGAGAAAACACAAATTTAAGGCTTGACAAATTTAAGGCAGGAGAGCTAGGAAGGTCASCCCTCTTTTCTCAGGTTCCCCTTGATGTTCTGCCCATTGAACTTTGTAAGAAAAATACCATTTTTCTTCATATTCTCAAAATGCAAGCAGGATGACATTATCATTGGTTTGGAATTCTGATTTGTCTGGGCTAAGAGATTATATGGGGTCTTTAAACTGTCATGTGTGTCCCAGTGTCTGTGATGAGCACACATTGTTTGCTTTGACTGTGTCCCAGGTGAGTGACATCGGATGGCAGAAGGGGTCCACAGCTGTTGGGGGAGAAACAGRCTTCAAACATGAGGATGAAGTGGTGTTTTGTGCTCTTCATGAGATTTTTATTTTGTCTTGCTAATTTCTAGTTAAGGTAACTACAATTGTCGAATATGAAGATGCCAAGCATAGTTCTACAAAGAAAATATCTAAAAAAGTAAGTTTATAATGTTTTTATTAAAAAAAAACATAAGGGCTTAATCAGTTCTGACCTGCCATGAACCCAGCAAGATCCATGACCAGGCAGGCCAGTGCTCTGCTTTCTGTTGGAAAAGTCAGTTGTYTTAAATTTAACGTATTTGAAGTTAAGCAAGGCTAAACAATAAATTATTTTTGTAATGAAAATATGGTATCTGCACTTCTACTAATTCACACAGGCTTGCAAGTACTGGCRTAGTCATTCTCACTTGACTTGCCAGTAAGTTTGGATGAAGAACCATTTTTCGTTGAAAATTTTTTTTTTTTAAAGCAACCTCACGTTTTAATCCATGCTTTTCTATAACTGAGAGGTGCATTCTTGCCTCTAAACCAAATCAAGTGTTTTAGTTTTATCACCCCAGTCTGTGTGTGCAGTGTAGCTCTTCCTGATGTTGCAAGATAATAGCAAATAGCAGAGATTCTGCACAGTTACAGGCTTTTACTGGAAAAGGGCTTCAAAGTTGGGTGTATATTAGACAGGTGGTTGGCTCTACAGAACTTCAGTAGGAACGAATAGGTTTGGGCATTATATAAACTTTTAGAATGCATATKTGGCATTTTATATATATATAGAAAAGGCAACACTATGGGGCTTAACGACCCTTTTTCAACAGGGAATTTTTACAGTGTTATTTCCTGCAAATATCTATTATTCTGCTTTCAAATTCCACTTTTTTWAACTGCAGTCTTACATGTAAATTTTCAGATTTCCAAAACCAGGTCATTGGTTTCATTGGCCTCTGGTTTAAGTGGCAAACTGAACTCTCTTTCAAGGTAAGACTGGCCTCTGATAGCTTATTTAACTCACCTGAATTTGTGAGTGCTGAACACAATTATTTTAAAATGAAGTAGCTGAAATTTGAGCCCAATGGGAATACATCTGATAAAGGTTCTTCCATAACCTGAGATGCACTATGGTGATGTGAACCTGAACAAAAAAGATTCATCTAGCTGATGAAGGCATGTGTATGACTGAATGCTGCACAGTTCTGAACTTAGGGAATCAGTATAGATTCCCAAACAATACTAATGGAAGAGACCAYGTAAGAAAAGCATCTTTGCTCTGCTAGTACTACTGAATTGTTTTGTAATAAACACCCAGCTTGGGTACTGCAGCCCTCCCTTGCCTAGTAACAGAAATTACTATTTTGTTCTTGTATGGTTTTAGGTCCCATTACATCATGTTTACCTCAGGAGGGCTTTTTCACATGTGTATTTCACACCAGATCCCTGTCATGGGGCACTTCAGCATTCTCTAATCCACTCTCTTCACCTTYATCCTAGCTAAAACTATATTAGAAGTAGATGAGAAGGAAATAAATAAAAATAATAAGTCAAGAAAATAACCCCCCCAACAAAACACAAGACCAGAAACTACTTTTTTGTGTCTGTTTACTTTTCTTCTAGTGTGGCTTKCAGAAGGCTGTTAAGTCTCTTTCTTCTCTTTGCAGTGCCACAAATCTCAAAGCCACTCCAAATGGAGCTAAAAGGTAAGGGGGTTTTGGCTCATTTTTAATAAATAATTTTGTTCAATACCAAGACATTATATATTGCTATCAATCTAGAAATTAATCACCAATCTAGATGTAACAGATCTTCATTGTCTGCCACTAGATTTGACAGTAGGGAGGCCAAACCAGTTATACCTCCTGCTTTGGTGTGGGTGTTAACTTACATTCTCATGGAGGCACAGGATTTGATGTCCTATCAAAGTCAGTTTAAAAAAAAAATTCTTTAGAGTATATAAATTCTGTTCTCATTGACTACAAGTGTACTGCTCAAACTTGTTCTCAGAGCCCAACCTTGATTAAAATATTAATACTGCTGTGTTAAAAATAAACCAACCCCCACAAAACCCCCAACAAAATATATCAATAATCAGTTCTTTGCATCTGGAATAGACAAGATTTTCAGTATCATTCTTCAGACACTACAGAGTTTGGTTTTGGCATAAATCATCAGTTGAAGTGAGGGGGTGAACAATTTAAATAGGTCCTGGAACCAGTAATTGGCTCAGTTTCACTTTGGCCTGCTCTAAATGGCAGAGGCTTGTTTCTGTGCTGAACACCCATATCTCACTTTTTTTTTTAGTAGAGTAAGAACAATTGTACAATGAAAGGTTAGGAATTCTGCATGGCATAAGGCATGACCTGTGCCTCTGAGAGATAGCAGTCTTGGTATTTATTGATATCTCCCTCTGTAGCAGACAGATACAGCACATGTCTTATCTTAAGCCCCGAGGCATGAAGTTTCCTCTTTCCAAAACTGTAAACATTCACTGCTGATACTGGAGAGTGGATATTCTTGTTACTGAGTGGCCAAAATGTCATCTTGTGTCACAGGCTTACAAGGTTACTGCAGTGGCAGGGTCATAAAACATTACCCAGCAGTGCCTGCAAGTGATGGCTTCATTTCTGTAGTCTACTGGCAGACACAGAAAAATTTAAACATCACAGCTTTACTCCTATGGGTATTTCCTATTACTTGCATTTGCTTCATGCTTGAAAAATTCCAGCAGAGCATACAAAGTTAACTCAGAATAATATTTTCATTGTATTCTAGTGCTGGATTACAACAGACTGTCTCAMGAACTTTACCTACCAGTAGAAGAGTTCAAGGCATGTTAAAAAGAAGTAAATCAGTACCCCAGCATAAAAGTGTTCCATTTGTAAATATTCCCCTGGCTGATGGACAGGTATCTTTTTCTTTTTTTAAAACATTTTCAACTTACAGTAGTTGATCAATGCAAATAGTGATAGCTCTTGCTATTCCTGAATGAGATGCTGCTAAACAAAAGGAAAAATCTTTGTGGAAGTTCTGCAGTGTACAGGGGAGCACATGATTTTCAGAGAAGCTGGGCAGACAAGAAAAAACTTTTAATCTTATAATTGTTTTTCTTCACACGCAGACACTCTGTACAGCTGGTGGAGACCTCCRTAATATTGATGTGCAACTCCTAAATCAAGATACAGTACAGCACATTCATAACTTGGTGGTAAGCTTGAACTAGGAAGCTTGCAGATGTGTGTGTTCAGACACTTAGTCCCAGGCTTTCATGCCAGATACTGTCCTGAATGCAAATTCTAAGGGCTTTAACTCTTTGGAGTTTAAGCCTAAACTGGCTGGCATCCATTGGAGGGAGGGGAGAACTGCTGCACATGGATCATGTGTAAAAATAAACATGTGCTGTTTGGTGATAGCCTCAGGTACCACAGGAGCATTAACTCTCCCTTGTGCTGGGCTTGGTGTCTCTTGTACCATGTCAGCCAACAGTCATTCTCTTAATCTCTCATTCACAAAGGCCGACAAAGCTACAGCTAAGTTTAGATTCTTCAAATAATCTATTATTCTGTGCTCTCACTGTGTAAGAACTATACACCTGCTAATTCTCTGCTGCAGTTGAACAGGAACTGTCTTAATGGTTTTGAAGYAAAATGAAGTGGAACCAGACTTTGTAGCACATACTGCCCAACTCCCCYGAAGATGAGGGTACTGGGCTACTGTTTGAAGTCATAGAAATCTATCCAGACMTGAAAGATGTTAACCAGTTTACAGTTGTGCAGGTATTGAGAGCAGTGCAGCTGAGTCAAGCTAAAGGTCTGGGTGCTGTTTGGTGTTTTTTGTTATGGCCCTGCTGCTGTAGACAGACASTGGGGAGTGAGGGAGTGCTCACTGCTTGCTTTAGCACTAGTGACCTTTCTTCTTCCAAGTTCTTTGCGAAGCTTGAGCTAAAATGAATTTTTCCCCCCTCAGAGTGAGCTGACTGTGCTATGTGGAAAGGCCACACCTAAACCAAGTTAATGGAACTGTCTTGTGACTACAGAACATGTGTGACAGCTCTGGCCTGCTGTCTCCGAAGTGTTTAGACTCTGTCTATTATGTCTTAATAAAGCTGTATACTGCCCAATAAATGTTTTTGTAAGCTTTTATATTATGTGATGTATCTTATTAAGTTTCTGTTATGAAGGATACCAAAGCAGAAGAAAATGCTACTTTTTCTTTATAAAAGGCTTAGGTTAGATTTTAACTAAGTTCACATTAAATGAACAGTAAGAGGCTGTATATAGGAATAAGTTTAACTCTGATATTCAACTCACAAATAAACTCAAGTACATTTTTTAATAACCTTAAGACATTTTTAGTTATGTGGTAGCATATATGARTCTAACACTGGAATAAAATGTATTGCTAATTTTGTGATGTGATAGTCATGTCATCACAGTAACATGCAAGATGACAGGTAGTAACACAGACTATTGGAATTTGTGGTACCAACCCAGATTCTCCACATTCTGTACTTTTTGAGGACATGGATCTGTTGGASCAAGTCCAGATGAAGGACATGAAGATGATCAGAGGCCTGGAACATCACTCCTGTGAAGACAGGCTGAGAGTTTTCAGCCTTGAGAAGCTCTGGAGAGACCTCGTGGCACTTTCCAGTTGTTAGAGGTAGCTCATGAGAAGGCTAGAGAAGGACTTTTTACAAGAGCAGGGTGTGACTGGATAAGGGGCAATGGCCTTAAAGCAAAGGAGGGTGGATTTTAGATTAGRTGTTAGGAAGAAATTCTTCCCTGTGAGKGTGGTGAGGCCCCAGCACAAGTCACCCAGAGAAGCTGTGGCTGCTCCATCCTGGAAGTGACCAAGGCCAGGCTGGATGGGGCTTGGAGCAACCTGAGATGGTGGAAGGTGTCCCTGCCATTGGGTGGAACAAGATGGTTTTCTCATGCCTTCCTACCTTCTACTTGCAGGGGTGACTTTTAAAAATCTTTCCAGATGAAGATGCCAGTCCAGCAGTCACTTCGCCTCAGAACTTGAGGACAAAGRTAGCTTTTACTCTGACAGTGGCAATTACAGTTAAAATGTTTCCACCACAGTAAAGGGTGGTATGAAAGACTGCTACAATCTTGAAACGAAAACATTTGTTTAAGAAGGAAATTTAGCTTAATTTTTCCTTCTCTTCTGCTTCCACTCTTTGCTTAAAAAACAAAGGTTGGACGTTTCAAATCAGGAGAAAAAAGTTTTCAGAGTATGGGTGATGTGGTAAAGGAAATAAAATATTATTAAAACTAGATTAAAACTGTACTCCCACTTARTCACCAGAAAATACAGGCAGCTTTTTCCTTTCTGCTTCTTGAGCCCAGTACTCAAGATACAAAAAGTATCAGTTAGAAATGGTTCTAATACATGCTTCTAATGGAGGTCTTCTTCCTCCACCCCCCCTCTTAGAATACTCCTTTGTTTATAGTAGCACATCTAACACAAGTACCTAAATTGCAGCTGTGTATTACTGGGAACCCTCAACTAATATTTGATTATTCACAGGACACTCCAATTAGTCCATTTAAAGTCCAGCTAAGAATTTAATTTCATCAGTAAACTACTCAAGCAWTAGTAACTAGTAGTATATTACTTACAAGTTAAAACATTGAAACCAAGACAGGGCAGATGGAGAATGTGTGAGTTRTTCTTCCACACAACTCGGTAAAGGGAGACACCTGTGATAAGGACAACTCTGAAGGCAGTCATGGAAAGGTGCTGCTGGCAGGAGCCCAAATTAATGCCAGCTCAGGACTAAAGCACAACTATCCTACAGTGATCAACTCTTCCTCCACCCCTTCACTTCAACTGTCTGAAAAGGAATCCCTTCCTTTCTTCCCCCTCAAAAAAACAATCTGAATGGGGATTAAAGGTTTAGAGCGTGACTCTATTTTACAAGKACTTAAAAGCAGAAGAAAGTGTTGTAATTGTTTAAACATACAGGTTAGGACTGACTCCCTGGAGACATCAGTCAGGAGAAAGGATCACCATGTAACCATGGCTKTGCAAAAAGCAACCCCAAGTTTAAATAAACTAAAATAAAAGACCAACTAGAGAATGCCACATCGTAAGTCAATACTGAAATACAGATCAAACAGTATTTATTTTTGCTTCATTTTTAGAGTCTATAACAAGGATGTTCAGCAACACTCAAATGCCAATGCCTACCCAAGCACATTGAAACCCTTGGAGTTTGTCCCTCCAACCTCATTAATAAGTGTCAACAACTATCAGAGAAATAACTAAACAAGTCACACTTCAGATTTGTAAAGAAGAGCTTCAACTTTCTCACTTAAGCAGGAGAGAAATCTTGCTTTAGAGGCAGCTTACCAACCCAACACTGTTCATGCACAATAGTCCYTTAGTTAAGGTCACATTTTTGCTTTGTTCTGGCATTTTTGCCAATTAAAAGAAATATAACTGAAGCTGGAGAACTTAATATCTTCATACTTAAACCAAAGTGCAAACTACTAGAAAAGTAACAAAACCATCTACATTTACTATGTTTCCAGGTTATTTTTTTTTTTTTTTTTTACACTGGAAACATTTCTCTAGGAAGTGAGGCTGAATCAGGCTTTGAATAGGATTCAAAGGCTAAGAGAAAGACACCATTATTTCAGAATTTAATCATTCCCCATTTACGGGTTTGTTATCTTTAGACTGAATTCAGATATCCTTGTGTTTTGCTCTCACAAAGGGGACATGGCTGCAGCCTTCGCTGTGCCCATTTAGTCATCTCTCATTTCAGGAAGAGACCTGAATGTGGCACACAACTGTTATCTAACCTTCACCTAGTCTTAAAGCAGCTTCAGCCTCTCTGYGTTTATAAAATATCTACCATCTACATAGTCTTTTCATACACAGACTAGTTAAAGCCACTGGAAAAGTAAGAGTTACAAGGCAAAAGAAATATATTATACACCAACTGCTTTTATTTCATTTCAGAAACCGTTCACAAGATGGTAGAAAAAACTTACAACCACTTCTAATTTAGTCTTTCATTGTTCCCAGTCTGCTCTAAACCCATTATGTGCAAAGCCCATTTACCATGCATCTAGATGATAGATACAGGCTATGAAATTCTTGATTCTACTTGTAGCAGCTTATGCAGGTGCAGCCAAATACCAAGCCTCAGGACAAATTGTACACAAACTTTACAATGTAGAATTTGAATTTAAAATATGAAACTTAAAATCTACACAAAACTGGTAAAAATCAAGCACAGATACGAGGACAAACTTAAAACCCATGTGAAAAGGAGTCTCGTCTTCCTTTCAAGTGCTTTATTCTGCTACACAGTCAAAATGAAGATGTAAGCTTGTGGTTAGTTTAAATTACACTCTGTAGATACTATAGACCAATTTAAAAGTTACACATACAGCAATAGATGTCCATTGGTTCGTCTGGATTACTTATACAATCCAGCTGGATTGTTGAAAACAAGTCAGGCAAAATTTGAAAGAAAATCCTTGTGCAACTTTTTAGACAAATGTTTACTGGTGGGCACACTGTACCCCAGGTCCATGATGGCTGCTTTCTTCATCAGAACTATCATTATAAGCTTCACGTCTCTGGCCACCACCTGAACCACGAGTGGTATCAAATTCTTGAAGATCTACCTCTTCTGCATCACCAATTACATTGGGAAATTCTGGTCTAGCTGGCAGAAGATCTTCAAGTTCCTGCCCCAAAGAAAGAAATGCATTCAGTATTGCATCTACAACTGCTAAACTAAATTACCACTTTCCTGCAACTTCTAAGAGCAGGTTTAGAAGTCTATGCTGATGAAAGCCCTTGAGCTGCAGAGTAATTTGAAAATATTTCTATCAACTGGAAGACACCACTTAAAGAAAGCCAGAGCTCCACGTATCATCAACCAAAAGTGCAATCAGTAAATACAGTTGCACTGTGTAAACTTATCATACAGCAACAGAAAGATTCTCCCTCCTGCCCTGTCTGTGTGTACCATCTGCCCAGCTCTTAAACACAGCTTCCATAAATTCGTATTCCAAGGGCTATTTCCAAGTAGCACATCGCCCATAAAAAAGGTTAAAAGAACTTTACTTGAATCTAAATTTAAGCAGCGAAAACAAGCCCATGAGGTACAATTTAGGCTGTTCACACACTGTCAAATAAGACACCACATTTATGCTTGAAAAACTACTTACTGAAAGCTTTTCTGGGCTAATCCAGTTATTTTCAGGAAACTGAACATCAAATTTAATGTAGAGATCCCCCTTCTCAAAAGGATTGCGATACTGTGGCATTCCTTCACCTCTGACTACACGAACACAACCTGGAATTCAAAGAGAAGTAGGCTGGAGAGTGCTACTGTAAAACCATTCTCTCTCCATACAATTCTTAGGTTTCCCCAGCCTAGGTTCAGTTAACAGGACAACAAGGGTGGGATTAAGTGTCTAAGAAGCACAAAAGCATTATCAAAGAAATCCTTATTAAGTCAAGTTTACCTGGTTCAATTACTTTTCCAGGAGGATATTTAACCACAATCTGACGTCCATCAAGGTGCTTAAATGTGAACTGAAATCCACACAGTGCTTCAACAAGTCCAATCTTGTGTGTCATATGCAAATCATTCACATCCCGCTGGAACACCTGCAAAACAAAATAGGTATCCTTTCTACTACTATAATCACAACTCCATCAGACTCATTATTGAGATTTCATTATTATCTATTMTTAAAATTCAATATTTATAAATATTGAATATATTAATGTAATATTCATAAATATTAATAAAATATTAAAATTCAATGTCAGAGCAACAGCCTTTGTATGAAGTGAACTTAATTCTGTTAATTCAAACACCTTAACATCCTTGGGAAGTTTGTGCCTGACCAAGTAYCATCCAAGATAAGCAAACCACACCACACACTGAGGTAAGGTTCAAATTAAAACAAGTATGTACAGCAGCACTGTTCTTTCACCCCCAACATCTTCCACACAAGCAATCTATAAACAAAACTTGCAGCAATTTGACACTATTTCCTCTGCACTAGAGTATATAAACCACATCTTTGTTTCTCAGCTCTTGTCCTCATGCCTATCTGCTTTAGCTGCCTTGACCTACAGCAGGACTTTGATCACTTAGTCCACAGCTGTCAGAAGTGATGTTTAAGCTACATAACTCAGGATTCTTAATCAGACTAAATCTTAAAATTTATCCACTGGCAGAACATGAGTCCCATCTAAAGGGAAATTTAAGAACACAAAGTCTATCTAGTTTTCCTCACTAGRACAAAGTACAGACTGACAGATTAGCAGTCCCTGACAAAGCACTGAAAAGCTTACAAAGTACCTAATTATCAGACAACCAACATTATATCCTTAATRTATGACTGGAGTTGAAATTTTGTACCCCATGCTATCCTGTCACAAAAGAAAAGCCCCCCCTCAAGTGTAACAAACAAACAATTTCTTATGCATCATAGCAATACCTGGCATTCTTTTTGAACAASAGAATTAAAAAGGGAGCAGTCACCTCAACTCTGCCCTACATGAGTTTTAACAGATGATAAATTGCAGTATTTCATTCCAAAGTGCACTGAATATAGGCCAGAATACAGTAAGTCTTAACAAACCAGTATAAAATAATAATGCTTGTTTTGTTAAGTGAATCAGCACCATCACCATTTTGTGCTTTTTTTCAGACCCACTGTAGCAGACACAGAAAGCACCATCTGGGGATTTTATCAGGAGTTCCCTGCCATGTCACAAGACATGTAAAAAAGCAAAACTTAGCATTTTGTTAGTGTCACAAGCAAAGCAGATTAAAGTTAACATCCTGAACGGCTCTTCACTGCATCTACTGTATCAAAGTCAATCTGAGCTTATCTGAGAAAGCTACCTCTTATTAGYATTAGGAGGCACCAGAAGCTGCCTGCCCTCTGGCTTGCTCAGTCTTTTCTGGCTCACCATGAAAGCCACATTACACACCATAAATCTATTAAAAGCCATTCACCATCTCTCCCAGAGCTGCAACTGTATCAATTACTTTAAATGAATGACCATCTATATAACTTAAATATTAACAACTGGAACAAAAGGCATTTAAAAGATAAACTCAAAAGCATTACCTCATTCTCCTTCTCTTGGAGTAAAAGGACAATATCGCCTGGTTCCACACCGGGAGCCTGATCTGCTTCTCCACTGAATGTAATTCTTTGCCCATGTTTCATGCCTTTATCTACATGGACTTCAAGTATTTTCACCTCTTTGATCACCTTCTTCCCTTCACATTTTTTACAGCGGTCTTTTTCATTAATTACTTCACCTAAATAAAGACAAATTTTGAGTTCAGAGATTTTGACATAGTTGCATCCAATTCGCAAGA